AGAGAGAGAGAGAGAGAGAGAGAGAGAGAGAGAGAGAGAGAGAAGCACTTAAAATGATGAAGACTGTAACAACTGGAAAACATTGTGAATGTGCTTAATGCTACTGAGTTGGACATTTAAAAATGATTAAAATGGAGGCAGAGAGATGGCTCAGTGGGTAAAGGTGCTTGCTGCCAAGCTTGACAACCCAAGTTCAACCTCCGGGACCCACATAGTGGAAGGAGAGAGCTGACTCCCACAAGTCGTTCTCTGGCCTCCATGTATGTGCATTAGCATGCATATGCCCACACACATATACACGGAGGGGGGATAATGTAAAAAATGGTTGAAATGGTAGATTTCATATTATGTCTATTTTATGCATGCACGCTCACACACACAAACCAAGTATGGTTTTCCTTCTTTGAGCAGAGTCATCTTTCCTTCTGCAATTCAACTTCAGAAGAACCACTAGCATTTTCTCATCTCTCAGATCTGAGATCCTGTAAACTCTCCTTTGTGCCCCTGAGGATGAAGTCCTAACTCCCTGCATCCAAGGCTGGCTGTAGATACCTTGACCCCAGCTAGTTTTCTGGCCACCAGTGCCTGGTCCACAGACAGCTGGCTGCTCTCTCTTTCCCACCCGTGCTCTTCTGAGGCCCCATCTAGTGGACACACCCCTGCACTGCAGCCTGATCTGACAAATCTTTTTAGAAATGCTACAGATCTGAGCTTTCACATAAAAGTTCAAGTTGCTGGGCATTGCTTCAAATTTAGAAAGAGAAAACACTGCAGTTTAAATGCAATAAACTTTTAGAGCAGATGAGGACAAACCCATCTGGTAAACCCAGAATGCAACTTGCCACCATCTGACCTTCCCAAAGGACCTGTTCATTTTCTAGAACTCTGCAGAACAACTCTGAAAATGGAGCTTTTGAAAGGCGGCATCTTGTCAGCCTGTTGACTGAGTATCTCTGAACTGAAAACTAATGAATTTATTGCTCAGTCAAAATGAAAGATAAATTAACACTGCCTTGAAAATCTGGTCCTCTAAACAATCAAACTGGCCAATGAAGATGTCCCTATAATAATCCCTTGATTAATTCTTAGTACAACAATTTCATTTAATTATGAAAATTTTTACCATGAGAAAGATGATTTGCTTTCTTTAATAATTTAAAAATAAATGTGCTCTGTAGACAATTTAGAAATTAAGAACTCTGAATAAAACCAGTGACTTGTTTCACACTGACATACCTGGAGTGGAACTTTTCTAAGGCGTAAAGCTTTTGTTCCTGACCCCTCTTTCCCCGCTTCATTTCTTACCTGCTGCCTTCTAAAACAACTTCAGAGCCTGATGTATGTTTCTAGAAATGCTTAGCATCAAGACACAAGTGTACTGGGAATGGCCTGATGGGCGGACTCCCATGGCAAATGATTTTCTTACCCTGATGTCTGCTCAGTCCATTCTCACTATGGTTAAACTCTTCTCACATGTAACACTCGTTCTTATCCAAGGACCAACCACACAATAATGCATCTACTCAGAGCCGTAAGAAAACATACACCCCTCCAGTGGTGACATTGGGCTCCCTTCTGTTTATTTATGAGGAAAATTAAAACCTGCAGGACCCCATGATTTGAGCACCTTGGGGAAGGTAAGAAAAGTGACATTTCCAGCTACAATTGAAAGATAAGAGTTGTCATGAAGTGCTTATGAATTAAGTCTACTCCTCCAACACCCCCATTTCAACTTTTAATTCTAATTCCTCTATTCCCGATGGTTTTGATAATTAATATAGAAGAAAATCATTTCTTATATTACCAATGATTATCTTTCATGGACAGAAGAATTACAGGTCTAAGGAAACAAACGTATGAAGTGTTCTTGTTTGACAGCATGCTCTGGGGTGCCTGGAGAGACTGGGGCAGTGTGGGTATAAAGAATAGGATGATGTTAATGGTGAGGTTGAGCACAGTCAGCTAGAGAGCTACAAGTATCGCTGACAAGTAGGATTCCAGAAATACCCCTGGATTTAAAGAGTGTCTGGAATGGTCAGATCTGATTGCTGTCCTGCTGGCATGGGCAGAAGGCCCCTCAGAGGGCCAGCTACTCTGTGCCATAAATACTATCTTCAACAACATAGATGTTGTCTTCTGCTTGGGGTTGTTGTTCCACTGCACTTTCCAAAGCTCTGATCTTGGAGACGTGAAAGGAAACCAACCTTAGTGAACACATCCTCCTTTTTATTTGCATGTACTTTGCCACAGCCACGGCACTCCCCAGAAACAGCAGCACCAAGACAGCAATGGGGATTGCAGTGATGAAATGCTTAGTGGTGGTCATCGGTGGCTTTTGTGTTGGGATGGCTTCAGTGTGATTATTCCCAGGCTCATTTGAAGATGTCACGGTGTCATTGTAATCCATCGGGGTATAGGATGGCGTTCCTATACCCTCCTCTGTTGTCTGAGGTAGAGATGGTACAGTAGAAATTGGCTTGGGGGTTTGTGTGTGTGCTGGTGTTGGACGAGTAGCGGTGGAGACCCTTGTTGACAATGGAGCTTGTATGGATAGTGTTGTAATTGTGGGTCTTGTTGGAATTTCTGGTCTAACTTGCAATGTGAAGGTTGTCAGCTGATCATTGAACAATCCCAGGATCTCCACTCGACAACAGTATAGACCACTGTCACTCTGTAGAGCATTCTCTATGGTCAAAGACACGTTTCCTTCTGGAATCTTCCCCTTGAGCCTGTAACGACTGTTCCTCTGATAGGTCACACGGTATCCATCTGTCCAGATAAGTTGGCCTGAGCATTTAAAATAAGGGCACTGCCCCCGGCCCCAACATACATTTGCAATTCCAGGAGACACATCGTAAGTACATGGCAGTGTGATGGGGCGACCCACTACTCCACAAACTTCTCTGTAAGAATCTACAGCAGCTGTGAGAAGCAACAGGAGGCCTGAAGTGACGGCTCCAGGGTGCATCACGCCTCAGACCAGTTAGTGCAGAGACAGCTGGAGCTTCTTGTCTGCAGTCTCTGCTGCAGACTGACTTTTCCTGAGTTGTTTATGGATGAAGACTATGCTCTAGAATTTCATCCTTCTCTCCAGGCCACACCTCTGTGTTTTGTGTGAAAATTGAGTCTCTCCAGTTCACTGATTATTTGCTAGACGGTATCTGCTCCCTGATTTAAGCAGATAAGAGGAATATTAGTAAATGGGAACACTACTCATTTTCTCCTGTGCTAGTTCCAAAGCTGCAGCAAAGCTCTTCATTTTAGCTCAGACTCCAGATCTAGAGATCACCCTTTCTCTTCCTTTCTTTCTTTTTCTTTCTTTCTTTTTCTTTCTTTCTTTCTCTCTCTCTCTCTTTCTTTCTTTCTTTCCTTTCTTTTTTTTTTTTGGCAATTTTTGAGACAGGGTCTCCCTGTAGTCCCAGCTGGCCTGGAACTCACTATGTAGATCAGGCTGGCCTTGAACTCCCAGAGATCCGCCTGCCTCTGCCTCCCGAAAAGGAAGATGTACTCACTAAGGCTGATTTCCTTCCATGCCCAGCCTTTTCTTTCTCTTTTTATACAAGGCCTCATTATGAAGCCCAGGCAAGCCTCAAACTTGTAATCCTCCTGCCTCAGCAGCCTCCTGAGTGCTAGGATTACAGGCATGTGCTAACACCCTGGCTGGGCACAATATTCTATCTCTTGGTTTTGATAATGTTGCAATACCTGCTTAATAATGTTATTTGTAACATGTATTTTTCCATACATTACAAATTTAAGAAAATTCCTTTTAAGATACAGAATATAGTGATGTGACCCAAGTGTATTTAATTTAGAAGACTGTGAGAGTCGTAATTTGATTCTAGCAAGTAAAATAAGTTTTCTTGTCAATTCAGCAGACAGACAGGAGGGGGAAAATTCCTTGGAAAGTTAAATACCTTGTGTGCCTCATGCCAGTATAAAGACCCAGCACTTCCTTGTTGGTGGTGAAAAATAACACATACTTTCTAAAAAGAAAATACTCAAATGAGTCACCTATTTCCACATTGAGGGCCGAGAAGCTATATAAATTTCTCCAGCCTCTATCAGAACATCAAACAGGTAACCGCAGGTTGAGAACAATTGCCTTTCTGATGGCAGCTGCACAGCTCACCCTGCTCTGGGCTGTGTGTCTGCTGCCGGGACCCTTAGCCCTGCCGCTGCCTCCAGACGCAGCCAACATGAGCCAGCTGCAGCGGAAACAGGCCCAGGTATGTCCCACTCCACTTGCCTGGGGCTCCCTGGCATCACCTCCGGCATTCTAAGTGGGTTTTGAACAATTCATCCTTCTACATTGGGAGAGCAATGAATTTTCTTGTGGGTACTGATTCTTATTATAAAGACAATTATGTTTTCATGGAGTAGTCACTCAGAGCTGGCTCTGGGAGCCTGCCGGAACTCGAACTGATTTCCAATTCCTTTATCTACCATACAGGTAGACATGGGAATGTCATTAAACTTCTCTGATCTTAAATTTTCCATTTTAGATGCTGGAAAATTATGTTTTCACCAAATGGGGCTGTTACAAAATCCTTAATACTGCACCTGATATATCACTCATACTCAGAAAATTGAAGTCTTTACTATTTGTTACAACTTGAAATTATTTTTATAAAGTGCGCAGAATGTTACCTCTAAGGATGAAGTGTTATAGTGGAGAGATCTGTAGTCAAAGGCTATGGGTAGTCAGTGATGGCAACCAAAACTTGAACTTCTGAATCTTTCCCTCATGTTTGCAATAATCCTGCATGTGTTCTACCTCATAGGATTATTCTAGAAAATGAATAACATGGCAACACCAGCTAGCATCATGCAATGATTACAGATTATGAAGTACTTCCGTATGTCACTCATTAGCTCTATCCTGGGAAAAAGAAGAAAGCAAAGTCAAGTTGATTTGCATGCTGTTGCAGCTAGAACAGAGCAAGTTTGTCTAGCTCTAGGAAAGCATGTTCCTCTCAGTATATTACTTATTAAGCAATCTAATGGGCACAAAAATATTATTTGGTAAACTGAGATAATGACTACATATTGCTTATAAACTTAAGCTTTAAGCATAAGAAAAATCAAATTTTGCTTCTCATTGACTTAGAATTCTAAAAAGATTCACTAATAAACTAGACTGACCCACATGAAATCATCAGTATATAACCAGTTTTTTTGCTTACAAAGCAGCATTTATAGCAATTTTTATCTATCACATGGATTCTCCAAGAGTGCTTTTGCAAGAGTATTTAGTCCCCTTACTTGGGATTCAGGTTGTCAGTAACTAGACAGAGATTAGTTGGACTTGACATAAATCAGGAAATTTATTTCAGGAATGTAGATGCTAAGGGTCGTGGTGCATGCCTGTAATCTTAACACTCTGGAGGTGGAGGCAAGAGGAGGCCAGCCTGGGCTACACAGTGAGTGTCAGGCTAGCCTAAGCTATAGAACAAGACTGTCTCAAATCAAAGAAGTAGAAAAAGAATGCAAACACTTCATCTAGAGAGTGTCCTTGTGAAACCTATAGCCCCAGAAGGTTATTTGCTTTTAAAGAAGGAATTCATTCATGATTAACATAAGAGAAGAATAAGAATTTGTTGTAGTGAATGAAATACAATCATTGGTAACAAGAGGGCACAATACTGATAAAAATTTTCTTTGGTTAAAATGCATAGTCCTGAAAGGTTTTCAGACAGCAAAGCATCACCAGGCACTGCTAATACTGACTGCTAATCACTGTTACTCAGCAATACTACTGGGCACTATCTGAGCCTGCGTGTTCTTTTCTAATTAAGTAGCTTTGGAATCAGATTACAGATTCTCCTTCAGGATGTCCTTATATAGGGTGACCCATTCACTCCTCTGAGCCCAGCTTCTTAGATAAAATGGAGTTAACAATGGCATGCTTGGTTTGCAGGGTGGTCGTAAAGCTTAACTGAAGTATGTAAGTTCCTACCACTAATCGGTGCTTTAAAATGCCTTTGTGAGCTGCTGCTGTTCTGAACCCTCTCCCTTTGTCCCTTTATATTCTGACTGATTCTCTCCCATCCTCATTCCAAACACTAGGAAACTTTAAGACCTTCAGTTGTACGTGGGAAGGTCCTGCTACCCTCCTAAGTGGGTTGTGCTGGGAGAGGGGAAACCTGGGCCCAGGTGTGCTGCTGACTCACTGTGTGAACCTGAAGGAATCATTTAGGGGCTATCAGCTGTGATTTGTTTCTTTGCCTGGACAATTAATTCAAACTAGTTAAATTAACAATCGCCTAATGTCCTTTCCTGCCTGGAATGTTAACAGCCTTTCACCAGTAGCTGGCACCAGATTTCCGCAGGCATGCTGTCTTCCTCCGTCACTTGCTAGCTTACTTTTCAAGACAGGGTCTCCCACTAACCTGGAGCTCACCAATGGACTAGAGTGGCTGGCAAGCGCACCCTAAGCATTCTCCTGTCTCTGCCGCTCCCATGACTCCCCCCGGCCCCCCACAATACCCAGCTTTTCATATGGGTGCTGGGGAGGGAACTGAACTCATGTCCTCATGCTTGTGTAACAAGCACTTTACTAAACTAACTCCCCAGCCTCTGGTGTGCCTCTTGAGGACACAGCGTGACACCTCTTCCTACTCTAAAAACAAGTCCAGGCTTTGCAAAGTGGTTGGTGCTTTTCTCCTCAGAACATCCTCTCTTCATCTGTGTAAAAGCAGGCCATGCTTGCTTGTAAGTATTCCATTTTCCCCTTACCAGTAAAGACTTACTTTACTCCATGACTACATAACTATTCTGTATTCAGATCACTATTCGAATCCACAACAACTGCAGGCAGAAGATGGGCAGACTTTTCAAATAAAAGAAGACAATAAAAATTGAAGATTCTTTATTGTCTTTCCAACAGGACTATCTTGAGAAATTTTACTCTGGTGACTCCAAAACAAAAGAGATCAGCAGTTTAGCGGCCAAACTCAAGGAGATGCAGAACTTCTTTGGTTTGCCTCTAACTGGGAAACTAAACCCTCACATCATGGAAATAATGCAGAAGCCCAGGTGTGGAGTGCCAGATGTTTTAAAGTACTCACTATTCCCAAATAAACTCAAATGGCTTTCTAAAGACATCACCTACAGGTGAGATTTGCTTCCACTCATTCTAACAAAGGCAACTAAACCCTTTTCCAAAGATCTCAAACAATGTCTCCTTGTGTGCTGTCAGAATCGTGTCATATACGTCAGACTTATCACGCAGAACCGTGGATAAAATCGTGGAAAAGGCTTTCAGCATGTGGCATGAGCAAATCCCACTGAACTTCAGGAGAGTTAGGATGGGGCCTGCAGATATCATAATCAGCTTCGAAACGAAAGGTAAGGATGGCTCTTATAGACAAGTGCTGTGTGTATTTTATCTGATTGCTGTTTATCGATGCTCTTCTTGTTTCAAGACTGAAACCCTTTCATGAACGTTAGAGGTGGCTTTCATTGGGCATGTGTTTGGCATATGAGAGGCCCTGATTTCAATCCCCAACATCCAACAATCAAACACACACACGCACACACACACACACACACACACACACACACAGACACACACACACACGAATGGCATAGAGAGAGATAAACAGAAACAGATAGCCATATTGTAGCAGTTTTTCTAGTTTTCTAAATTAGAGCCATGTTCTACTGCAGGAATTGGCAAATTATGACTCAAATCCAGCCCACCCTGTATTTTGTAAATTTTTCTGTAATTGGGTGTGTGTGGGGGGGTGACTGTCACTGCCCTTTGAAGCAGAGTCACTGGATTCCCCTGGAGAGGGGATCATAGGGGCTTGTGAGCCACTGACGTCTGTTCAGGGTACTGAACTCAGGTCTTCTTCAGGAGAGGTGTGTGCTCTTAAGTGCTAAGCCATCTCTCCAGACCCTGTAAACAGTTCTATGGGACACAGGAATGTGCTTTCACTTACCCATCATCCTATGACCACTTTTGTTCAGGCAATAACTGTGACAGAGTCACACGGCTTAAATTACTTCTTATTGACCATTTGTAGAAAAGATTTGCCAGCCTCTGTCTTATAGTGTGAACCACTACGTTATAATTGTTTTGTGCCATGAACCTTTATCTCTATGTGTATCTGATTAAGATTAGCTAATATAAGCATTAAAATTTTCAAAACCTTCAAAGAAGGTAGGGTAGTCTTTACGACCTATTGACACTGTTTTTCATGTAGAAAGAAAGTAGGAAATGGAGCTAGAGAGCTCCCAAATAGCCTGACAAGTGCACCTCTCACCACTCGTCAAGGAAGCGTGTTTTTGCAACAGATGGAGACTACTGCAAAGTTCCACAACTGGTCAAATATAGAGAATAAGTGTCTGTGAGGTGCCCCAGCCCTAAGTGACACATCTACAATGTAAACTACACCTAAGGCTCAGGGAACCCTGCAGAAGAGGGGGCAGAAAGAATGCAAAAGGCAGAGGGACAAGACACCTGCTGCTAGTTAAGCATTCTACATTCTAGATATGAGAGGGAAGCTATACCAATAAAACCTCCACAGTATGGTATCTAACATGAGCTCCATAATGACAAAACCAGTCGACGTGCCCAGGTGGATGGGGGAGACTTCACAGGAGTCCCACCTCAAGATGAAGAGCAATCGATGGATGCTGAGGGAAGGAAAACCAGTTTTCTCCATGGACTATCCCCCAGAGAGGCTATCTAATATGAAGTGGGTATCCCTAAACACAGGTACACAAGAGCGCCACTAAATGGACTCAATGCATTACATATATATACCTATAAATGCATGTGTGTATATATGTGACAATAATAATCAAAGAAATTGAGAGGGTATGGGGGGCTATGGGAAGAGTTGGAGGGGGACTAAGGGAGATGTAAATAATGCAAAGGCAATGCTCATGCATGATAGTCACAAAATTAAAAATTAAAGATTAGGCAGGGCATGGTGGTGCATGCCTTTAATCCCAGCATTTGGGAGGCATAAGCATGTGGATCTCTATGAGGTTGAGGCCAGCCTGGTCTACCTAGTAAATTCCAGGTCAGCTGGGGCTAAGAAAGACCCTGTCTCAAAAAAAATTTTAAAAAAAAGGAAATGGAGGGCTGGGGAGAAAGCTCTTTCAGTAAAGTGCTTGCCATACTAGCACAAGGACCTGCATGCAGATCCCCAACACCCACATGAAGCCCAGCACGGTGGCATGCACTTGTCATCTCAGAGCTGGAGAAGCAGAGACAGGCAGATTCCCTGGAGCTTGCTGGCCAGCCAGCCTAATCAAATTGACAAGCTCCAGGTTGAGTGAAAGGCCCTGTTCCAAAATATAAGGAGAGTGACTGAAGACACCAACATTGCCTTCTGACCGCTAAGCACATGCACATACATGCGCACTCTCACTTGCACACACAGAAACATGTATACACGCATGTACCACACATCCACACATACATGTGCACATGCATGCACACACGTGTGCACATACACACACACAAAGTAAGAAACAGAGACTGTTCTATGAAACAGCTTGCAAAAGCACAGCGCATATATGTGAACTGCTCCTAATTGAATGAAGCTCTTAATAGCATGAAGCTATTGCTTCATGATATAAACTCAGAAAACCTGTGTTGCCTATTTTGTTTCCTTCTACTATCAAAATGCCTACATCCTATAAACTTCACTGGAACTTGAACTCCCAGTGTCAACAGCACTGAAGGCAACAACAGGGAAATACTCATACAGTATTACAAGTTTTTCCAAAACTGGATGAACTGGATATAACGTATCACCATTCTGAAGAGAAATAGCTCTGCATGAGACCTGGAACATCATTCTCTACAAGGCTGCCTACCGTGCTTATAAACAAGTTAAGTTTTTAAGAAAAAGATGATGAAATAGTATCCAAAAGGACTCAAACATGGTACTCTTAGCCAGGCCCCTCCTTCCACTGTGTGGCCATCAGAGTCATCCAACTTAGCAAACTTGCAACTGCAAACTTGTAACTTGATAGATATAATCCTGCTTAAGGTAGGGCCTGGGGTGGTGGCTCAGTGGGTCAAGTGTTTGCTGCACAAGCATGAGGATCTGAGTTCAGGTCCCCAGCACCCACACAAAAGCTGGATGAGCAGTATGCCTATAGGCCCGGCACTAAGGGGTGGAGACAGGTAGTTCCCTACAGCTTGCTGGTCAACATCTACCTCCAGGTTCAATGAAAGACCCGATCTCAAAAAATAAGGTAGGGAGCAATGCAGGAAAACAGCTTCATCAACCTCTGGCCTCCACATGCCACACACACAAACACACACACACACACACACACACACACACACACACACACACACAAGATCCTGAATCCAGTAACCCTTCAGTATGTGGTAGTCACCAGTGATGAGCACTGGGTCTAATGAAAGAAAGCTGCCTGGACCAGATGCGCAGCCAGATCAGCCTGTGTGTATAACTGGTTACTAGTAGCAACAGGGTCTGATTGGTCTGACTGTACTTTCCAAACTCCATAGCTGTGTGAACTGGAGAGATGGAACGACTAGAGAAAAGTTCGATCATTAAGAGAGTTAACTGCATTTTCTTGCAGATCACGGAGATGGATCCCCATTTGATGGGCCAGGAAACGCAGTAGCTCATGCTTTTGGACCTGGGCCAGGACTAGGGGGAGATGTTCACTTTGACAACGATGAATACTGGACTGTGAGCAACGAGATAGGTACAGTGCCCTGTGTTTCTCCCATTATATGCCTTTTTGAAACCCCAGACTTAAAAACTTAATTTGATCATTGCTTTTTTTAAATTTATTGATTTTGGGCCAGAGAGATGGCTCAGCAGTAAAGAGCACTGGCGGCTCCTACAGAGGATCTGGGTTCAATTCCCAGCACCCACATGGTGGCTAACATCAGTCTGTAACTCCAGTTCCAGGGGAACCAATGCCCTCTTCTGACCTCCTCGGGTATTTCATGGCACAGGTGCACCTACATGCATACAGACAATACATTCATACACATAAAATAAAAATAATAAACAATTTTGAAAATTTTATTACTTCAAGAATTTTATACAATGTATTTTGATCATATTCAGACCCCCCCTCCCCCATCTCCACCCTCATCTTACCCTCCCACTCCCAACTTCATGTCTCCTATTAGCAAATGAAAAAAACTCTTCCAGCTTACACAACACATCTGAACTGGGTGCCAGAGAATCATATCTCATTAGACTTCAGTGGTCTACATTCCTGCACACAGGTGGGCCAAAGTAAGGGCCCACTCCCTTTTACATGGTTTCAGGTCAGCATACATCCAGGTTTCTTGGAATGGAATTTTCACACGTGTTTTCTGTTACACACTGCTTAGGGATGTCAAGTAGGGATTTCTTTCTTCCTCAGCATCAGAAACACCTGGGTTTCCTCATCAAAGTCAGTTTTTTGCAGGCTGGGTGCATGACATGGTTTCAGGTCAGCATACATCCAGGTTTCTTGGAATGGAATTTTCACATGTGTTTTCTGTTACACACTGCTTAGGAATGTCAAGTAGGGATTTCTTTCTTCCTCAGCATCAGAAACACCTGAGTTTCCTCATCAAAGTCAGTTTTTTGCAGGCTGGGTGCATGCAGGCTACATTTTGGCTGTTTCTGGGCCTCACTCAACACAGTGACCCCACTGTGGGCCAAGGCCTTCTCCAATGGGTGACTCCCCACAGGGTTTTACTGGGGGTGAAAGCAGAAGCTGGGTCCTCACAGCAGGCAGCAATTAGAGCACAGGCCTCCAACCCAAGATTCTCTGAGTGGCCGTTGGGAAGTTTCACAGCATCACACAACAACTTTTCACCAGTGTCCTCTAGCTTAATTTCTGAAATCTACAGACTTCTCAGGTCCCTAATTCAGATGAGGACTGCAGCCAGGTCTTGACAGACATTGGCCAGTCAACCATGGGTGCACTGTGCAGTGGCCACTCACAGGCCCAGCCCCGGGCAAGAGATGTGCACTGGGGTCTGGCACATTGGGGTGGTTGCAAACACCACCTGGCTGATCCCACAGCCTGGCCCCCTCAACCAAGTTCAGCAGCCAAGGGACCTAGTGCCCCAGTAGCCCAGGGGTGCAGCTGGCCACCAGCCAGGCCAGTGCAGCTCCATGCCCTGGAAGCACAGCTCCAACCACGGCAAGGGCTGCCAGGCCCAAGTGTTTTCTTCCTCATAGTAGAGGATCCAGTTGGCCCTCTTGGTGTCTCCTGCCCTCACATCTTCCTCCATGTCCAAGGGGAACAAGTGATAAGATACCTTACTGGAGTCATGTTTTAAATTCTTTCTCTGAGAGCCACCAGCACCGGCCAGCATTGCTCCAGACACCAGCCAGACTGCCACCAACTTGGCTCCCCCAGTTATTTACTTTCTTACTTGACAAGTTCTGAGCTCAGAACTTCGAGATCAATTTAGAAGCACCTATACTCTGGAAAATATTCATCTTGTGTAAGAAGGTTCCTCACATGGTCCAGCACACACAGTCTCTTGGAAACCTGCATGCCCCAGGGCCCTGAGGCAGACTGCCTTAGGTGCGCCTCATTCCACTGCCATCCCACCAAAATTCTTAAGCCATTGCTTTGATTTATAATTAAATTTTAATTTTAAGTGCCAACTAATGTACTATATGCTTTAAGTGTTTTATCTCATTTAATATTTTCTTTTTTAGAAACGGTCTGTATGTGTGGTATAGTGTATTGGTGTGTGCCCATATTTGGAGGCCAGAGGAGGAAGTTAAGTATCCTCCTCTGCAGGGCTGCAATGAGACATTTCAGTGATGCCTGGAAAATCACAGCCTGACCCTTAGCATCCATTTCAAGTAAGAGTGGGAGCTGAGCAGCTCTGAAAACCTGTTGCTTCAGATTCCCCCAGAACTCTGCTCTCAAACAAAAGCCTTGCTCTGCTTTTATTAAAACTGTATATCCAGCATGAAGTGGGGGAAGTAAAAGCAGACCCTTATCTTATCAGAGAAGGATTTTGCCCTTTCTGATCCCTACTGACCTAGAACGGCATAACAGGCACAAACAGATGTTATCCATCTAGTCCCACCTATTGTTTCCAACATAAACAGGATAAATTCTTATTGCTTTCAATGAATATCTGCTGCTTGCAGCACTTGACATGTACAACACATACACATGCATGCACACACTCACATACATGCGCACACACACACGCACGCATGCACTCATGCATTGGTCTCCTTTTAGCTTGTTGTCTGGGCAGGCGATTTAGGGTTGGTGTCCCTAACCCTAGAGCACTTCACCAACGGTTTCGCTATTAATCTGATTCACTGTGGTAATCCAAATGAGAAAAGGCCCCTGTAGGCTCATCAACTGAACACTTGATCTCCTGCTTATGGCACAGTTTTGGGAAGGGGGTGAGATTATGGAACCTTTAGGAAATGGAGACAGAGCCTTGCTGAAGGAAGTATGTCACTGGGGGTGGGCTTTGAGGGTTTATGGCCTCACCCCACTTTCTGTGCCTCTCTCTCTCTCTCTCTCTCTCTCTCTCCCTCTCTCTCTCTCTCTCCTTCCTGTGTTTCCTGTTGCCATGCACTCTCTGCCATTAGGAACTCCATCCCTCTGGACCCATAAGCCAAATAAACTCTTCTTAAGTTGCTTTCGGGCATGATGTTTTAGCACAGCAACAGAAAACTAATACATTCTTTCTAACCCCTCCTTATTTTGAAGGTCCAGAAAGAAATAACTATGGATGAGTGAGAGTTGGATGTTATTTTCATATGGTATGTTATTACAGACATCTGTATCACTATGTTAATACTTACTATATACATTTCTCTGGCTATAGGAATTAACTTCCTTTATGCTGCAGTCCACGAACTTGGTCACTCGTTGGGTCTGTCTCACTCCTCTGTTCCGGATGCTGTGATGTATCCAACCTATGAAAATGGAGATGAAGCAAATTTAAAACTTTCAGAGGATGATATTAAAGGCATTCAGAAATTATATGGTAATATTTATGGTATTAAAGAAAGAATTTCACACTTTCTTCTTTGAATAGGCTTGGAAGAAATTTCCCCCAAAACAGGGAAATGCCTGGAAACCAACAGTGGCTTATAAACCTGAAATCCTATTGAGTGGCTCATAAATCTGAAATCCTATTGAGTGGCTCATAAATCTGAACTCCTATGGAGTGGCTCATAAATCTGAAATCCTATGGAGTGGCTCATAAATCTGAAATCCTACTGAGTAGCTCATAAATCTGAAATCCTATTGAGTGGTTCCTAAATCTGAAATCCTATTGAGTGGTTCCTAAATCTGAAATCCTATTGAGTGGTTCCTAAATCTGAAATCCTATTGAGTGGTTCCTAAATCTGAAATCCTATTGAGTGGTTCTTAAATCTGAAATCCTATTGAGCAAGCAGTTGTGAGGCCCTGAGTTCATTTCTCAACACTTCAAAAAAAAAATACAAAATAAGGACCTATTGAGGTGAAGATTTCAGCCTCAGATCCTTGAAGAGGCTATTTTTTGCTGTGCATATGATGTAATACTCAGGTTTATTTAGTGTGTGTGTGCACGTGTGCACACATGCATGTGTGAAGGTCAGAGGACAGCTTGCAGGAGCTGGTTCTCTTCTTCCACCATGTGAGTCCCATGCACCAAACTCGGGCCACCAGATTTGGTAGCAAGCACTTTTACCCACTATGCCATCTTGCCAGCTCACATTGTATGCTTAAATCTTCAGTAATACAGTATGAGATGGTAAGATCATGAAAATATCACTGAGTCTTCTTTACTAAGTTTAGATGTTTTAGGAGAGTCTCCCTGGAGGGATGGACATTGGGGCAGGACAGCATCAGTTCTCTCTCTCTCTCTCTCTCTCTCTCTCTCTCTCTCTCTCTC